GTCTTCTCACAGATTTTCCTCCATGAGGTCGGTGTGTGAACAGGATGCCATGAAGCTACAAACACAGACATTCACACACACACACACACACATAGCAGGTAAATCTAATACCAGGTGCAATATCACAGAATGATGACATCATTATTTTTCATTAGTGCTCCTTCACAACTTACACAGCGTTCAGCTCAGAAATAAATTTAATCACCGATATTTAACACACACACACACACACACACACACACAACTTCCTATTGTTTCATAGTCGCCTTCAGCTGAGGTTTTTAACAAGACTAGAAAACTCCTTCAGGTGCACAAATAAAACTCAGAACATGACCCCCATTAATCACATGCATGCACACACACACACACACACACACACACACACACACACATACACTTCATTTGGTTATTTACCACACTGACCTGGCAGAGCAGTGTGCATTCGGTGATCCTTAAAGTTTTGGAAGAGCTCAGCATGGTGTCAGAAAAAAACAAAACAATAAATTGAAAAGACATAAATCCAAACACTGAGCTTCATTACAGCCTTAAAATCATCATCACAGAGCACAGACATAGGAGACACAGGAGAAAGGACCCTACACTGAGGGGAAAAAAGGACAAAAGAATGAGGAACAAGACTCAGGAAAACCAATCAGCAGAGAGACTAATAAATCAACAGAGGGAGTACTTTCTTAATAATCAACAATAGTAGGAACCAAGTAACCCTGGACAAGATTAATACAGGATCAGGTAAAAAGTCAATGCTGGATAATTTCACCTGGCAAAATTTCTGCGGTGAGACTTCTGGAAACTTTGCCAGTTTGATTTCTCTGTTCATCATGCTGCATGACTTCATGCTCTTAAGCATCTTGTGTAGTGAAGTAAATCCTTTGTTGCTGGAATTAAACTGTTTCCTACTGATACACTGAAACAGCAAACCTTAATACATTTTTAACACCTTTTTTCAATTAGAATGAATGGCACATGAATGCAACAGCTATGAGGTCTATCTCTCTCTCACACACACACACACACACACACACACACTGTCGTGGAATGGAGGTTAGGACGGATGCAAGTGCGGATAAGAGCTTTTTAATGAAAAGCAGACAGACAAATCCAAATCGTGAAATTCTTTCAATTCTAGCATGGTCAAAACAGGCAAATGGTCAGGCAATCGGGAAATGTGCATGAAACAGGCTAAACTGGACTCAAAGAATGAGGTCAAGAACAGGATCAAAACTATGAGACAAGAAACTATGAACAAAGGCATTCATGTAACACTCATATAATACTTCATGATGAACAAAGTGACATGATGGGTTTAAATACTAAACGCAATCGGGGGAAAACACAGAACAGCTAAATACAATGATGACACTTAAGGGAAACAACCCATGACAATACAGTGGTGGAGACAAGACAAACCATAATAAAACACACGTCAAAAGTAAACAAAGTCAATGTCACTGAAACCCAGAAGTGCACGCTCTCGCTTTGAGCTTTGGAGCACACTGCATGCTACAGTGCTAGTGTGAGGGGAAATTGTGACACACACGCAAAGTTTATATGTAAATATTCAAAGTTGGAAATTCATAAAATCACCAAGACCCTTTGACAAATTATTATACTTTTTTATAGTCCTTTCTATGTGCTTAATGGATTATCCATGTTTGATACAGCCAGCCTGTTTTGATGTTTTCTGGTTTAACTCAAATACACATCACGCTGAGAATATCCCCATCCGGCCCACATCCACATGTTACAGTGGTGTTACTAAGCCTTATATTAGTGTCTGGTTTTGACTTTGATTCTGCCTTATTATGGTTTTTGTCCTTGTCCAGTTCAGCCAGTCTGTACATCACTGGTCCTTGTGCATACACACTGATTTTGATCATCGATAAACCCTGCTCATGCATTTATATCTGCTCATGTCTGATAAACAGCAGTTGTGGTTCTAACGAAAAGATTCAAGAGCTTTCTCTCAATTTTTGATTTGCCATTTATGATTTGGTTTCAATATATCTGATATTACTGGTACCCTGCCCAGGGTGTACCCCGCCTTGTGCCCGATGCTCCTGGATAGGCTCCAGGTTCCCCTGCAACCCTGAAAAAAGGAGTAAGCGGTAGAAGATGGATGGATGGATGGATGGATGGATGGATGGATATCTGATATTTTCAATCAGTACAAGGGTGTAAAATAATCTCATATAATTTACTCCAGTCATTCTAATTAAATTTACACCTCTAGCAAATGAACTGTAAAGTGGAATCAAATTCTGGGCTTGCACAAATTAAGTAAATGAAAAATGAGAAAGGGATTATAAAAGAAAAAGGGTTAATGAGACTTTATTGTTCACATATACATATGCACAGTGAAATTCTATTCTTCGCATACCAAGCATGTCAGGAAGCTGGGGTCAGCCATGATACAGCACCCCTGGAGCAGAGAGGGTTAAGGGCCTGGCTCACCTTGCTCAGGGTTAAGGGCCTGATGGCATCCTAAACGAAATGATTAAGCACACAAGCAAAAAAATTCCAATTAGGTATTAAATTATTACACTTGATTCTGAGTCTAGGTTATTGTCTTGATATCTGAACTCAAGGTCTTAACACCTATTTCCAAAAGTGGAGATAAATTCCATCCTATTAATTACAGAGGCATCTATGTGAACAGTAACCTGTGGAAGGTTTAATGCAGCACCATTAATTCGAGACTTATAGACCTCCTTATGAACCACAGTGTCTTGAGTAAAAGTCAAATTGGATTCATAAAAAATCACAGCACCAATGCTCATATTTACACTCTACACACCCTAATCGACCTATACGTTAACCAAAACAAAAACAAAATATTTGCACGTTTTATACATCCATCCATCCATCCATCATCAACCGCTTATCCGTAATCAGGTTGTGGGAACATGCATGTTTTATAGATTTCCAAAAAGAATTTGATACAATTTGGCACAAAGGTCTGTTTTATAAAATTCTTGAAAGTAGTGTAGGTGGTAAAACATATGATATCATCTGATCCATATAAACAAACAACAAGTGCAGAATTAAAATTGGCCACAATAGAACCAAGTTCTTCCTTCGGGAATATGGAGTGAGACAGGGTTGCTGCCTGCGCCCAACACTATTCAATATACAGTATATACTGTCACGTATCATGAACCTCTGGACTCCAGTTCCCATCAGCCACTGCACAACATGTCACATGACCACCTGCACCTGATTCATGTTTTGTTAACGAGCACTAGTGTGTGTATATATAGTCATTGTCTGCACTGTTTGCTTGTCTTTCGTTGTCTTAGACTGCTGTCTTTCATGTCATTGTGTTTTGTTTCTTGCCAGTGTTTTGTCTCATGCCACAGTGTTTTGCCAAGTTGTCTTAGTGTCTTTGTTTTGTAGTCTGTTTGTTTATGTTAAATGTTTATATCTGCACTTGCTTCTGCCTCAACCTCGAATTCGTGACAGAACGAAAGACCACCTATTGGAAGCAGCAGATCATCATGAACGCCGCCGCAGATGCAGTGTATGAGGAGTGGTATAGATCGTACTGGGAGCCGTTCTGCAAGAGGCACTTGGAACGGAGTAAGAAGATAAATGAACAACTTGCTCAGAATGATCGCATGCTCGGGATACCGCGGTGGGACAGATCATGCACCATGTCACACCCAGCATCCATAAGGGAATACGCCATGCCTTGCCGACAGGAGGGGGAGTCTGTGGTTGGGGCTGAGACCAACTCCCACCCTCCCTCCCCTATTATGGCTCTCACTTAGCCTCCCTGCTCGGCTGAGGTCGTCGCTCTGCCTTCCTGCTCGGCTGAGGTCGTCGCTCTGCCTCCATGTTCCGCTAAAGACGTCGCTCCTTTTCTTTGCTGCGCTCAGTATTTTGCTCCCCCTTCCTGCTCCACGGAGGAGTGTCCTCACCTGGCTGGTCCTGAACCTCAGCTCACTAACACACATGAACACACTTCTACATCAGGAGCAATCAGAACAATCAGACCTCGCGAAATTATAACACTACAGAAACAAAACTACATCACCCATCACCTACATCACCCATTCAAACACAAGCACAATGTAAAATGCAATACTATTTGGCCCTAAATCGACAGTGCACTATAGCTGATGCTTGTTGAATTGAGAGAGAGAGAGAGAGAGAAAGAGAGAGAGATCGACAGACAGACAAATGGGTGGTTTACCAGTATGAACAGGAAATGTCTAGCTAAGCTTGTAAACAAAAAGGACAGTCCACAATAATATTGTCATATAAGAGCTTACTAGGTTTTTCTTTTTGCTGTTAGTGTGGTACGTTGACGGACACTAATATACAAGTCATAAGATAATGGTATTTGAAGCAGATGTTTGTAACCAGACAAAAGGAAACCCATCCTCATATGGTGACACTGGATAGTGTGATTATAAATAATTTATTTTCTATAACTGTGCACAAAAGAGTTAGAAATTGCGATTGTGTAACCAGGAACTTACGAGCAACTTACGTGCAGTTACGAGCAACTTATGAATATGAGTTTTTTTCTGAATTCATTATAGTTTTAACTTTTTTTTTTTAAACTCTGTTATTCTGTTGAAGTTATCAACTGTACAGTGACTGAGCAAAACTGTTTGTAGCAAGTGCAGTTCCTAGGCTATCCAAAGAAGAACATCCACAACCATCTTCATGCTTTCCATGTGGTATCATCCATAGTAATCTCATTGATCTTTAGGCTGTCCATGTAAGGCCATCCACCTTAGAAGCAAGTGCTTTTCAGGTGATGAGAACTCCAACTAGAAGTAGGACATCACACACACACAGTTCCAGGTTGAGGATTTGAAGAATAACCATAGGAATTTTGATATCTACAGTTTTGTGATCTGTTTTTTTTCCCAGATATCAGACACATTGAAACATAAAACAATTTTATTCAGTTTCAAAATTCAGATTTTGTTTTCTATATTCTAATGGCATATCTCACCAAAACATACAGTGCCATTGAGGCTCAGTGGTTAAGGCATTGGACTAGTAATCAGAAGGTGATGAGAAGGTTCAAATCCCAGCACTGCCAAGTTGCTGTTGCCTTTGAGTCCTTGAGCAAGACCTTGAGCTGTATCCTGTCACAACTGCAAGTAATTTGAATAAATGTGTCTGCCAAATGAGGTAAACGAATAAGCTAACATTTCTGTCCGAGAAATAATAATCCAAAAGGTTCTGAATAAAGTTGACAGCAGAAACTATTCTAAGCAGGATAAAGATGTGATGGATGATGTAACAGCATCACAAGGAAATGATTCAGAAGTTCAGCTGGCTTTAACCATTCATTGCATAAATATTTCACATCACACACTCATCCTCCTGAGTTTATTTTTCCCTGTGAAATTGAAGTAGTGATGATGTTTTTCCTGTGTCACATTAATAGTACATAATCTGCAGGTGATGGTTAATTTATGAGTTCGGAACATTTAATTAGAAACATGGTGCTTCTGTGTACTGCACAAATGAGCATTTACTTTTAAATGGATGCCCTTGAATTATTCATTATTCATTATTCTGTCTGTCTGTACACATCTTCCACATGGACAGTGTGATGTGTGAGTGAGGGAGGGCAGGCGAGCGAGAGATACATATTCTCAGTTTTAAAATTTGATGTGTTATTTACAGACAGAACTTTAGATGTTTCAGAAGTGAAATGTTTACGCTGATTTATTCATTGGTGAAAATTGTTCCACTGGAAATCCTTTTGCATTTTCTCAATTCTATTTGAAATCTAATCACTGAATGGAAGTCAGCAAATACATTATTCATGTAATATGTTATATGATGGATTATATGACTATTTTACTCCAGGTACTTTATTTGGACTTTAGTTTGTATTTGGCGCTATCTAGTGGTGGTATTCATATAGAAGTAAGTAGCATGTGATAGCTTTGACCCTCGAATTGTAAACAGAAAGTAAGTTCCTTGTGCAACAAAGGATCTTAGCAGATGTGTTCCCCCTCCTATCTGCTGCCATTTTTATGTTTTCTGCTTGTAAAAGCATTGCATGTAAGTGTTTATCGTTATATTATATTCTTACTACATATATCAGAGAATATTTATGCAGTTTCATACATTTATTGTTCGATACTAAACACCTTATTGTCCTTGATAGCATATGGTAGCTGAGTTTGCTTTTCTTTTTGCTTTTAATTTACTGTGTAATAGCTAGCTGCAAATTGGATGTTTATAACAGAGCGAGTGCTTAATTTCCTCATTGTTATTGAGTTACTATATTTACAAAGATGTATGTATGCTAAGTACATTTAGCATGTCGTAGTGAACGATGTACGTTATCTCACATTCTTAAGAGAGGCGCATCAACAATGTCTTACACAAGTCGAATTCGGTGTTCGATGGAGTAAGACGTTAAGTTTGAGTTTCCTGCTGATTTCGATCAAAAATTGTAATTAATTACCACTTTCTTTTGTAATATAATATTTTTATATATAATTTATATATAAAATATTATATATAGTATATTTTGACTTATTCTACTTCGTTTCCTTATTTGTACTTTTAACTCGGTGGTTCGTTAAAGATGTCGGGGAAACTCGAAAACCGGTGGCAGCATTCAGACAAAATTGAGGTCTGGAGGGCGCACTGCGAGCGCGTCTCCTCATGAATCTGCAGCGTGTCTCCCTCTCACCATGAACTTGCACCCGCGCCCATGCCTCCTTCTCCTCATGAATCGATTTGAGTGTATACTTGAGATGATTTGAGTGTATACTGTTTTTAGCAATTACTGTCTTTAGGAGATCCAAGAAATCCACAGCAATCTCAAGGCTGTTACACAACTGTGGGGCTTTGTAAGAGAAAGCTCTTCCCTCTGTTATAGCCTTCACAGTTTGAGGTACCAACAAAGAGCCTGCACGTTTTGAGTGAAGTAGACGTGGTTTATCATAAAAGACCAAAAGTTCACGCAGGTATTATGGTGTGAGACCATTCACTGTTTCATAGGTCAGTCATAGTATTTTAATCAATGCAAAAACTGGGAGCCAATGCAGTGTGGATAAGATAGGAGTGATGCGATATGGAAAAAAATTATTTAAAAAAATTATATAAAATATGAAAAAAAAAAAAAAAGGACTGAAACAATCAATAATTTTCATAATCGTTTAGGGGGCCGGTTTTTTCAATTAATTGGATAGGGCAAACTTTCAGCACCATGTTTTTTGATTATTTAAAATAAAATCCATTAACTGAGTGTTACCAATATAAACTTCAGACTGTTTACACAAACGCTACACACACCAGAATATATATTTTAAATTAGGATTAGTAGTTATAATTCAGTGTTTTTGTTGCATCCATAAAAATAAAATAAATGAATAAATACTTACATACACAAACTAAATAGTATTTATGCATTATTTTATATGGATGCACAAAAAGCACCGAATTAAACTACAGTCCTAAATTAATAGTAAAAACCTCACTTCACCTTGTGGTTTCTGTTCCTCACTGCCTTTAGACATTAGTGTCCATGCATTATGATCAAAAGTAAACAAGTAAAATAGAGATCTTACTATCCTATTGCACGTCTACACTGCAGGTGATCAGCAACGCAGCCCCGTTACCAACATCACTTCCATCATAAAACAGAATTTACACTGCAAGCACGCAAATATAACAGTGACAAACTTAAATAAAATTAAACCTTTTAAGCAAACTTGCACCAGTTTCCCCTGCCCCTTACCACATGTTTAGATCCAAAATGCTCCACTAAGTTTGTCCTTGTGCAACACTGTTTCATCTCTGCGGTAGTTTAATTAAAAAAATGTGTCCCTGCCTTAGAGGACTTCCTTCCTCAGACATGCGAGTTTCTCCACCGTCTGATGGTGACTGAGGCCATGTTGGGAAAAAAAGGAAAAAAAAGGTAACGATGAGATTTTACATTACATTTACTCACTTAGCAGACGCTTTTTATCCAAAGCAACTTACAAATGAGAAAATACAAAGCAATATATCAAGCAGAGAACAATACAAGTAGAGATACCATACAAGATCCATTAATTGAGTTCCAGAGGAAGCAAAGTGCACAGAGTAGAGGTGTAAGAGCAAATTTATTTATTTGTACGAGTTGGTTAGGTGTTCACGGAAGAGGTGGGTCTTTAGCTGTTTTCTGAAGATGGTGAGAGATTCTGCGGTCCGGATTGAGATTGGAAGTGCATTCCATCACTGAGGAACAGCTAGCATAGCTAGCATGAAGGTTCTGGAAAGGGACCTTGCGCCACGTTATGCGTGGGGAACTACTAAACGTCGGTCGGAAATCGATCACAGATTGCAAAAGGGAAACGTAGGCCTTCAGGAGAGAGTTGAGGTAGGAAGGTGCTGTTCCTGACAATGTCTTGTAGGTGAGCATCAAGGCCTTGAACTTGACGCAGGCAGCTACAGGAAACCAGTTGAGGGAGATGAATAGGGGTGTGACATGGGTTCTCTTAGTCTAGGTTGAAAACGAGGTGCGCAGCAGCATTCTGAATCATCTGAAGGGCTTTGATGGAGCTGGCTGGGAGGCCTGAAAGCAGTGAGTTGCAGTAGTCCAGTTTAGAGATAACAAGGGCCTGGACTAGTATCTGTGCAGCCTGTCCGGGGATGTAGAGTTGGATTTTCTTGATGTACAGGATGAACCTTCAGGACCTTGCTGTTGCTGAGATATGGTCTGTAAAGGTCAAGCCGTCATCAAGAATCACCCCAAGATTCCTGGCCATCCTGGTTGGCATGAGTGTGAGTGAGCTGAGCTGTACAGTGAGTTTGTGGTTGATTGAGGGACAGGCTGGGAAGCTCAGACTTTTCCAGGTTAGGCTTAATTTGGTGTTCCTTCATCCAGACCGAGATGTTTGACAGGCAAGCAAAGATGCGTGCAGAGACGGATGGATCGTCAAGCTGTAAGGACAAATGGAGCTGGGTGACATCAGCATAGCAATGATATGAGAAGCCATGAGACTCAATCACCTGCCCTAGAGATGTAGTGTAGATAGAAAAAGAGGAATGGTCCCAGAACTGACCCCTGTGGAATGCCAGTTGTGAGTTGCTGAGTTTCAGAAATACCTCCCCTCCATAATACCTTGAAGGATCTGTCAGAGAGATAGGATTCCACCCAGCGCAGAACCGTTCCAGTGATGCCCAGGCTGGAGAGAGTTGACAGGAGGATCTGATGGTTCACACTGTCGAAAGCAGCAGAGAGGTCAAGTAGGATGAGGACAGATGATCTAGAGGTTGCTCTTGCTAGTCGTAAGGCCTCAGTGACAGAAAGCAGAGCAGTCTCCGTGGAGTGGTTGCTCTTGAAGCCAGACTGCTTGGTGTCCAGGAATTTGCTCTGTGTGAGAAAATTGGAGAGTTGATTAAAAACGGCTCTTTCAAGAGTTTTGGAAAGAAAAGGGAGGAGGGAAACAGGTCTGTAGTTGTCAACTATAGCATGGTTGAGTGATGGTTTTTAAGCAGTGGGGTAATCTGGATTTGCTTAAATGAGGTAGGGTATGTGCCAGTAGAGAGCGATGTGTTAAAGATGCGAGTGAGTGCAGGTAATAGTGTGGGAGAGATGGACTGAAGGTGAGAAGGGATAGGTCAAGGGGACAGGTTGTGGGACAGAGAGAGAGGAGGAGTTCAGAGACAGTCTCTGAGATGGGATAGAAGAAAGTCAGTTGGGAGTTACATGGAGGAGGAATCGGTCTATGCACGTCTGGGGTTGAGAACTGGTTCCTGATTGATGTAACCTTGTTGGAAAAGAAAGTGGCAAAGTCATCTGCAGTGAGAGAGGTAGGGGGAGGAGGAGGACAGAAGAGAAGAAAAGGTTTTGAGGAGAATGCGGGTGTTGGGAGAACTACCAGTCTTCTCTTGGTAGTATGTGGCTTTAACAATGGAGACTCTATTGGAAGAAGAGGAGAGAAGTGTCTGGTAATTGGTTAGGTAAATTGGGTTGCTTAATTTACACCGCTTCCTTTCAGATGCTCTTAGTTTGGCTCGGTTGTTATGCAAAGCTTCTGAGAGCCAAGGACTAGAGGGTGATGTGCGAGCAGGTCTGGAGGTTAG